GTGTGGAGACGCTGCTGTTCCAGGTCTAGCCCTCTCCTGGCTCCGCCTGTGGAAGCTGCATTTTAGTGAAGGTGTTTCATCTCTGTGGCCCAACATGAGAACTTGGCCACTTCAGTTCTAATTATCTCTACCAGCAAATGCTGTGTTCTGTGAGCACTCTCGAGTGTCCCCACACCACGGCGGCGGGCATACTGATTAGGTCAGCTGCGCGCACCGGTGGGCGGTGGATGAGAAGGGCGGTGGTGCGGCCTTCGTGGGGTGTCCACCATCCCCTCGTGGTTGAGCTCGGCCTCCTCCTGCACAGCCAGTGCTGACACGAGCGTCTGGGAAGCGTGGCTGGTCGTGGTGACTCTGCTGTGCGTGTCTGCTCTTCTGTCTGCGTTCCTGCCTGTGCAGTGTTGCTAATACTTGCGCTGTGCTGCCTCGGTTCCACGGCTCACCACAGCGGGCAACCATCTGGGCTCTCCTGAGCCTGGGGCTCCTGGGCGTGGTGGGGGCACAGTGTAGCGCCAGTGTCACCAGAGCAGCCCCAATCTGGACATCTCAGGCTCGTCCCACCTGCTGCCCCAAACTCCTCTCATTCCCAGTCACCTGGGTGCCTCCTTAATCACAGGGACGCAAGGAAACAGGCAGGGCGCGGGCTGCAGTCAGGCCTCACCAGCCATGTTGGTCCCGGCCCTGGGCTGCATTTGGAGGAGGAAAGGAGCTGTTCCAGAGAAGCCTCTGCCGACGCGGTCTCTGACCAGAGTTGCCCTCCTGCCGACTCTGCCCTTACCCTGCGGCCGGGCCGGAGGAGCCAGGCCCACGCTGGCGTCCGCTGTGCCCAGCCACCCCCGCCTGGCTCTCAGAAGCCAACAGGGTGCATCTCAGTGACGACTGACCCTGTAAGCACATAGGGTTGTGAACAAGAACAAATCTTGCTGGAGTTGCCGGGGGAGACGAAGCGACTCAATTTGATAAGCATTACTAGAAGCGAGTTAGTTCCCGTCTACACTTTCTCAGCTGCTGCTCACCTCCCTCCCCCAACTTTGCTGGGAATTGTGACCCACCCCGGGCAACAGCCGTCTCGTCCGCTGGAGAACCTCATCCCCAAGGGGCAGGGGCAGCCGCTCTGAGCCGTGGCCCCCTCACCTGCGACTCAGGGGCGAATGTGCTTGTGAGCAGGCGAGCAGCTAAAGGTAGCTCTTGACTCCCACAAAGCCCTCACCATTCCTGAGCAGTGTTCAGGGTCTGGGAATACTTTGCAAAGTAACATGAGAATGGAAAGCACTGCTTTTACCAGTTCCAGCACAGGAAGGAGCCCTGCCCGGAGCGGGGGCCGACCGCCTGTGTCCTGCGTTCTGCACAGATGCCCAGGGATCGCGCCTGCTGAGGTGGGTGACGGCCATATGCCACTGTGCCTCTTGAGCCGGGTCCTGGCAGCTGGGCCTGATCTTGGGTTCCCAGTGTCCAGGGACGACAGAGGTTGGAGCCACGGCTTTTCTGCTAAAGGCTTAAACAAAAGCACAGAGGCTCTGTGAGGAGTGGGGGTTAAAATTCGGGGCAAAAGCACGCAAGTAACTACACTGTACGGGAAAAGGCACCCAGGCTCTGTGAGAATAAATAAACCGCAAGGCAAAAAGCGCTCAGGCTCCGAGGAGTGAATGGTTAAACCGCAGGCAGAGGCGCACAGGCCGTGTGCGAGTCGGCTGGGTACGCAGCAAGTTTAGACTGGTGAAGGGTGTCGTGTCTGGCCACGTCCTTCCTCTCTCCAAGAAAAACCGCCCAGCCTTGAGACAGTGCTGCCCAAACTGCTCCTCTCCTCCTCTTACGGAGATTCTGAGGAGCTCTTGGCTCAGGCTGATCCTATTCCTGGAGTCTCCCTGCTGACTCCATGATCCTGGGGGAGAAACAGCACCCCTGGCCTCCCGGTGACTGAACTCAGTCTCTTCCCTGGGTTGTCTTTTTGTCGTCCACGCCCGAAGTCGCTCACTGCGACAGGAAGCCTGTGTCTCAGCGAGTGGCGCCTGCCCCGTGAGGTCCGGCAAAGCCGAGCGCTGGTTTGGGAGCGGGTGCAGACGTCATTAGGCCGTCACAGAAGAGGCGCAGTCGCGCAACGCAGCACGCGTCGGAGCAGATTCTGCCGCAAGGCCGACCTGAATTTGTTGACGGGGGCTTTTGAAGGGTGATGGGCCATTTTACCAAGAAATGAGATTGATGAGCTTTGCTTTTCTCATAGGAATCCGTTCCCTGCGTATCATTAGTTACTTCATCGCGGGTGTCATGTCGTGTTGTCCTGGTGCTTACTAATCACCCTTTCTTTGCCAGCTGCAGGGATCATTAGGTAAAATTGGCGGCGGACCATCGCCTCCACATTTATCTTCCTAAGCTGGTGTCAGCAGCTGTCCCGACAGCAGTGTCCACCGCAGAAGTGCCCTGAGCACATTTCTGAACTAGGCCTTTTAGGCGCAGGATTGGAAAGCAGACCCCTTCTGAGTTGAGCAAAGACCCAGCTGGTGAAGCCCACCTGAAATGAGGCGGCCCCTCGGAGTCCCCTGCAGCCGGATGGGGGTGGTGTACTTGGGAGCCACATCGGGGCTCCTGGCTTCTCTGCTTCCGGTGCTCACTTGAGTGCAGCTGGGGAGACTCTGCCGTCGGGAAGGTCACACGACATGGAAAGGCAGGGCAGCGGACAGGTCTCCTGGTCGTTTCTAGTCACCGGTGGGCAGGGAGGTGGCATCCTGCATCTGCCTGGCAGAGCAGCAGGAGTCTGCACATGCACAGTGATTGACTCGAAGCAAGACATGGCGACCCGCCGCTGGCTGGACCACTGGCTCCTCGGAATGTCCCGTGGCCCAGACACAGCTGTGGCGAGTCCGGTGGACAGCGAGGAGGATGCCGAAGGGCTGTGGTCTCGGGGCTGAGAGGTTGTGGAGGTTCGGGAAGCTGGCACGATTCCGTCACAGTGGGTTGTTACACTGCACATCGCAGATGATTTCTGTGGAACATGGACAGAACCCAAACTGGATCCAGGTATAGATAACTGTGTAGATTTGAAGAACGGAAGATCTGCTGGCAGAAGCATTCTGAGTGCCAGTGCTTGTGTGAGAGGCTCCACCGGATCTGCTGGAGCAAACGGGCAGCGCCGGGGTGAAATGCATGTGGCGGGCAGGTGTGCGGTGGGAGCTCTGGCCGGACAGGTGTCGCCCACAGGCTCGCATCACTTACTGACCATAAGTGCAATGCCCCGAAACGCACTGGCCAGCGGACGGAGCAGCCTGAGCTCCTGCACTCGGAGTCGCTGGAGCTGTGTCAACTGCAGCCGCCACCGGGCCGCCTTCCTGGAGCCCTCTCCCTGTGCTGTTTTCTCCCAGAGCACCTGCCTCCTTCTGACCCATGGTGTCATTCTTTTTTGTGTGTATTGAGCGTTGTCTTCTCTCTGCTACCAGGTACATGAGGTGTGGGCAGGATCTGGCCTTTTGTTCCTCCTGCTTTGTTCACTGGTAGAGGCCAAGTACCCAGAGCAGCCGGCACCTAGTAAATCCTGTGCAGAACTGATCATCCTGACACACGTGTATCCTGGGCTGGGTCCCGTAGCAGGAAGGGACAGGAGTGGGGGACCTAGAATTTGAATGAAGCCGGTGACTTGGTCATGAGCGCTGGCGCAGTGACTGTTTGGGCGCCTGTGCTGTGGTGAGGGGAGGTGACTGTGGCCTACGCTGGGGACAGCTGAGCCAGAGAAACGCCGAACCTGCTTACAGCGCCTCTCGGAAGCTAGCAGTAGGTCAGAAACACAGTGGAATAAAATTTCTGTTCAGATGAACTGCCTGAACAGTGCTTTAAAGAAACAAACAGGAGAAAGGAACCCTTCTGCAGACTTGGTGGCAGAGTAGACTGGTGCAAGCACTGTGGAAGTCAGTGTGGAGATTCTTCAAAAAACTAAAACTAGAAGTTCCATCTGGCCCAGCTATTCCCCTTCTTGGTGTCTTCCTGAAGGAATGAAAGCATCATACCACAGTGATATATCACATCCATGTTTATAGTGGTACAGTTTGTAATAGCCAAATCTTGGAAACAGCTCAAATGCCCATCAACCAATGAATGGATAAGATGTGGTTTTTTTAATGCAATGGAGTATTACTGTGCCACAAAGAAGGATAAGCTTGAAGCATTTCCTGGTAAATGAATGCACCTAGAGTCCATACTCTTAAGTGAAATAAATCAGACACACATGTGTAAATATAGCATTGTTTCTTTGGTGTGAGAAAGCAGAAGTGTAAATCAGGACCAAAATATATAATAAATATCGTGAAATAGGAAGAAAATGTTCAAGCGGGAGGGGAACAAGGGAGGGGGAGGAGGAAAGGAAGAAAAGGAAAAGATGATAGAAGAAGGAAAATGGAAACAAAGCTTTCGTAAATAAGATGGGGAAGCAGGGTTGAAGGGAGGGGAGGGGAGTGGGAAAAAAAGAAGCAAGATGTGTCACGTACAGGTGCAAACTCTACGATGAACGTGGTCATTGTGTATACCAAAAGTGTACCAATAAAACAAACAGAAAACAGGAAAAGAAGAAACAGAGCAGACCACACTGCTCTGTGCGCGTGGGTGAGAGGGAAGAGCGCCCACGCAGGTCGGGGCTGCTGGGCGGGCCTGCTGGTCTCTTCCAAGGCCAGAGCTGAGAGAGCCCAGTGGTCTGGGGCTGCAGAGAGGCGTCCTGGCCGGAGCAGCGTGCATTTGCGTCCGCAGACTCGGCGTGGTCTCCTGGCCACTCACACCACAGGCCGCCCCCTGGTGTGCGCCTGGGCACGGAGAGGGCAGTGTGGCTGCAGCAGCTCTGTGGGACTCGCCTGCGCAGTGTTGGGCTCACCCTCTTGTCTGTCCCCTGCCTGGCGGGGCCGGGCCACACTGCCGTCAGGAGGCTGTGCCTGCGACCTCGTGCCGTGCGCAGGGCTGCGCTCCCTGGCCGAGCTGTCTGCCTGAGATGCGGTCTTATTTCCTAATGGTGCTGTGCTCTCTTGCAGGGCCGGCGGGAGAGCATTCTGGGCAATACCACGCAGAGTGTGATCGCCTTGCTCAGCAACCTGGTCACCTGCAAAGACTCGAACGTGAAGCTCCTCTACGAGCAAGGTGAGTGCCGCTCAGACCGCTCTCTGGTCTCGTGGAGTTTGCCCATTTGCACGTTTCCTCCTCTGACATCTCGGGGAGTCAAGGAATGGAATTTACGTTTGCTGAGTCAGAACACGTGATGCAGGTCTGTAAATAATTACGCTATGACCAATAAAGAGGGAAAGGGTCAGGCAGAATAATTTCCCTGAATTAACCATCTCGCCAGGCAGAAGGTCACTTGGCACTGCTTAGAGATGATAGAAGAGCGCCAGGGACATAGCTCAGCGGCACAGCGCCTGCCTGGCAAGCGCAAGGTCCTGAGTTCGGTTTCTAGTTCCCAAAAAAAAGATTATAAAACAAAGACTAGAGGTGTAGAATTACTGCTGGCAGTAAAAATAAAAACAGATGTGATGAAGAACACCACGGAAGCAAGACTACGTGGTGGAGAATGGCTTTACCTTGCATCTTACACGCATTTCTAGGTTACAGTCTGTAAAACCACGTATACATTCTACTTTTATATTAATAAAAGATGTCGCTAGAATTGATCACAAGAATAGGACTCAAAGGAAATGTGTCATTCAATAAAATTAGCAAGTCACTGTTCTAATATTTGCCCACAGAATTTAGACTTCTCTGTGTGAAGATTATACTTTACTAGGGGTATTTTTTTTCCTACCCTAAGAAAAAGATGTGCTTTCAGTAATAAATCTGCCAGCCATTGTGGAACTTTCGTACCTAAAATCATTTATTCTTTACATTGCAGCGTCTTATTCTGCTTTGTGGGTACAGCATAAAGTGTTTGATGGGTGCGTGTCGGTGGGCAGGGTCTTCTCCAGTCCGTTCCTGCTACAGACATTCCTGCAGGGAATAACCTTGCACACACGCCCTTGCTCTGTGAGCAGGGCCAGCTGCAGGGCAGATGCTGGGGTTGGAACTGTTAGATCACAGGTCATGTGCGTTTGTCATTTTGTAGGCGTGGGCACGTTATTCTAAGTGCTGTGCCAAGTTGTGTGCCCACCACACCACACGAGGGTGCCTATGAGGCCTTTGAGTGGAAGAGCAGTTACATTTCCTGCTTTGTTCAGGATATATTTTTTGTTCTTCAGCAGCGTTTTGTAGTATTTTGTTGGTCTTTGCACATTTCTTATTAAGTCGATCTCTTCTAGGTGTTTTATCATTTTTACTTGTTCTTTGGAATGTGATATTTTCTGCCACTGTACCTCCCCGGCTTTAAAAAAATACATATGTTTGCAAGCTTTTAATTTCTGTATGTTGCATTTTATACCCAAGTTTTCCATTTTTAGCCTGAGCAGTTTTTAGGTGGCCCTTCCAGTTTTCCAGGTGTAATGACTGTAGGTGGGGACAGCCTCTAACAGAAGCCTCGTGGGTTATTTGCTTGCAGTCAGCGAGCCATGCCTGCTCACTCTGCTCACCCCCTCTGTGAGACGTGGTAAAGCCAACCCCTTTATGATGTCTGCTTTCTTCTTGGGTCAGTCTTACTAGTTTTTCTGGAAATTTCATCTATACTATCTGATTTATTGGCATTTAATTATTCCTTTTAACTCGTGTTTGGTACGGTAAGTGGTTGTCATGGCTGTGTCTCGATGTCCTCCCAAAGCCTCCTGCGGACGTAGGTGGGGCTTTTTCAGAGGTGGCTGGATCTCAAGTGTGTGAGGCTGGGGTTGATTCGTGGTGCAGTGTGAGGCTCCAGGGCACTAGGATTAAGGGTGTAGATGCCACCCCACCCTGAGTAGCCTGGATGAGATAAAAGGGGAATAAAATTCTGTTAAGATCCCTTGTTGCTTGCTGTCTTCTGCCTGCCATGAAGTGTTTCTCCTCTGCCAGGACAGCCAGCTGTCTCCTCCTTTAACTTCAGGCATTGGTGTTTTGTCTCAGCAGTGAGAGAAAAGTAACTAAGATGGTGGTGATGGCTTACTTTCAGATTAGCTGATTATTTTCAGATGTGCTGTTGAGCCCTATTCATGAATTTTTCACCCCACTTGTTAAGAATTTGCATTTGGTTTTCTTTGTTGGTAATCTCTACTTGTAAGGCATCATTTTCAGTCTTTCCCTTAAATATTCACACGCGGATTCCTGTAGTTCTAGTGAGTCCTTCATGAACAGTTCCCTCTGACCGATTTTTTTCCTGCGCATGGTCCATGTTTTCCTGCTTTTGTTTTGGCATGCTTTATAATTCTTTGTTAGAAAGCACACATCTTAGATGATGTAAATGTGTCAACACCAGAAAACAGATCATTCCCAAACTTATTTGTTACTTCCCTTTTGCGATTTGTTTATTTAGTGACGTGTTGTGCTAATGGTGTGAAGTCTGCGTTCCCTACATCACCCTTCTGGCCACGGAAGTCTCTATTCCCTTAGTTCCCTGGTGGCTAATAAGTGGACGGAGGTTCCTTAGATCCACAGTCTCCCACCCTTCCCGAAGGTTTTGTGTGTGCTGGGCCTGATGTCCATGGTGAGCGTCCACGTCCCTGGGCGGGGTCATCAGGAGAGAGGAAAGGCCTTGCTGTCTCCCGTGGTCAGGGCGCATCTGCCCACACATGCGCAGCATCCTGGACTCCCGGGAAGACTTGAGCTTTTCAGAGCCTCAAGAACCACTTTCCATGGCTCAGATCCGGAGCCCCCAGAGCGTCTTGGTCTACAGGAGAGGCTTTTGAGGTGCAGGGATTCGCCCCCTGATGAGTCCCAGCAGAGGGCGTTTCTAAGTGTGGGAGGTGCTGGGTTCTGGGTCTGCAGGGTGGATCTCTCGCTCTGCCTTTTCCTGTCTCTGCCTCTTGGCTGCCATGCTTAAGCAGCTTCCCTCCACCACCGTCCCTGCCTCAGCACCAGCAGGGCTGGACAGCAACCTCTGAACCACGAGTCAGAACAAATCCTTCCCTTCGGGTTGTGCGCAGCTGACTTGGGGCCCAGCAACAGAAGAGTGACTAAGAGAGGCGGCTCTCGTGGCTATTTCACTCCTAAATCTTCAAGTTTCTGGGCGAGCTCTTTTTGCCTGGAATAGCGTCTCAGCCTCAAACAGCTACGATGTTAAAAAAACATCACCATGATCGTTCATAATTGGCCTTCTCTCCTTGAGTGAGGCCAAATAACAGCAGTTCCTCTGAACGGGACTTTTCTGGAGCAAGGTTAGAGACTGGATTGTGGCATTTTGAGAAGTTCCAAACCCCATTTCTGGCCCAACTGGTGCTGCTTCTGATAGTACAATCCTGTTAAAAGCTTCGCTAGTTTCACAGAAATCATTGGTGCTCGTTCCAGTAAACAAAAAGCCTGTCCATTAATCCTTTCAGAGTATTGTCTTCTTAGCTGGATTATGCCTATAATCCCAGCACCCTAAGAGGCTGAGGCAGGAGGATCACACATTCAAGCCCAGTGACTTAGTGAGACCCTGCAGGTGGGGAGGAGTTGGGTGTAGCTCAGTGTGAAAGCCCTGGCTTCAATCCCATCTCTAACTTCGGCAGAGAATCAGGGTAGCATGGAAGCAGGGGGTTGTGTGACCGAGGTGGGATAGGGACAGACATCTAGAGGACAGGGGCTTAGGGATTTGAGAAGTCAGGTGTGAGGGACGTCTAGATGTCTGCTGAGTTCTGTGTCCGCGCCGAGCTGAGCGGGAGCAGTGCAGAGAGCGGGGGTGGGGGTTCACCCCTCTCAGGGTCCTCCTCCTCCTCCTTGTCCTTCTTCACCTCCTCCTGTCTCTTCTTCCTTCTCCCTGAACTGAGGGCCTCCCGCTGAGTGCCGTCATAGAGGTACAGATGAGATTCAGATTGGATATGGATGTGGCTGTAGATTGGGTAGAGGTGTAGGTGAATGTACACACGGACTTTATAAGACAGGGTCTCACGAAGCTGAGGAGTTGCCTAAGCTGGGCCTGAACTCGCGCGCTGGAGGAGTGCTGTGGCCGATGTGCGCACGCCCACCACCGGGCCTGGTTGACTTTCTTCCCCAGCTTCTCCTTGGCGTCAGTTCTCTCACAGCCGGGAGTGTGAGGTGGAAATCAGAAAAGTGGTTCCGGCAGGAGCAGTGCTGGGGAGGCACCTGCAGCGTCAGGCCACGCTGCATGCTGGGGTCCGAGGATGCCGGCGGTGGGGAGCGGAGGTCTGTGCCGCATCGGTGACCTGAGCCTCAGCGTGCTGCGGTCCGCCGCGGTCTGCGTCCTCGTACAGCGGTGCCGCCCTCTTGCCGCGTGGCGCCTGTGGCTGATTCTGTGCTGTCGTGGCAGTGTGGAGGAATTGAAATAAAAGGTCCACGAGCCTCAGGCCTAAAATATGCGTCCTGGCTGGTAGGGGAAGGTCAGCCGAGGCCTGGCCACTCGCCTCGCACGGAAGAGGGCAGCACCGTCCAGCATTGGCCAGGCAGAGGGAGGAGGCCCTCGTCACGAGGGGCATGCAGAGACCAGGTCCCCCGCAGGGCGGTTCCGCTGAAGTGGGCGGGTGGCGTCTGAGGGATGCGACCACTGTGAGCCCCAGAAGCTGAGGTGTCACCTGGCGTCGCTGCGCTGCTCGTGAAGCTCTTGGCTGCTAACTGTGTGGGCTTTTACCCAAGGGGCTGAAGACCCTCTGGGTCTGCAGGCCCCGAGCTGGGAGGACGAGAGCCGCGGACAGCTGCCCAGTGCGTGGGTTTGAAGGACGTCTGCAGGAGGGTCTCGGCTTCCTCTCAATTCTGGCATAAGCGTTGGGTTCTACATTATCGCCTTTCACACAGGGTTACATTAATTCCCTTTTGCACACAGGCTGTTTGTCTGCTGATTCTCGTAAATCGCCCAGTACAAGTGCAGTATGATGGAGAGGTGCCTTCCCTGCCTGTCAGTCCCTTGTCATGGCCGTGTCAGTCCCTTGTCAGTCCCTCTGAGGGCGGGCTCTGGAACGCCTGCCCCCTCGTGCGATGGCCCCCCTGTGGCCAGCCGCAGGCACACACGTGTGGCACTTGAGGACGGGTGTGCGTGCCCGGAAGAGCCTGGAGACCTCGGGGCTGTGGTCAGCAGTTCCTCCACTCCAGGGCGCGCT